AAATTAATTCCAAATTGAACTCGAAACCGTATGATTACCTATACTAATATAAGATTACAGGACAACACTCAGTCTAAATAATCAGTTAGTGCTCTTTACCTGTAAACTGTTCCTCTGTCTTTACTACCACATGGTTGTACTCGATAGTTGCTGCCGAGATGCCAGGGTCCAACGGCACTTCACATCCCACCTGAACACAAAAAGAGGGCAAAGCAATAGTTCAATAAAAGATTTGATACCTTTTTACAACTGGAAACCGCATGACCTGAAGTTCTACTAAAATCGCGAGCTACTACTAACATTTCCTGAATACTAGAAATTAGGCACCAAAGAACAAAACACGAAGCTTACCAAATGTGCAATCACGTGATCAGAGGACAAGCCTTGCCGAGAGAGAATGGGCTCCAGACAAGCTCTCACGGTCCGATTGGGTTTGACTTTCATCCACAACATCGCACCATTCGGAAGTTCCAATCTGCAAAGTGAACAATAAGAAACAAAGAATAAGGCAAAATACTACCATAATATAACTTTGCAGTATCAAGGAAACGCAACGTTCGACCTCTTCCTTGCACAAACAAAGAAGCAGAGCGACTTTCGATCCTATGATTTTGGGAAGTCGTAATGTGTTTAACGAGTTTGATCACGTAAGCATGCTTTAACCAATGAAATCAAAGATTATATCTTCTCAGCCAATCAGGAATTGGACCCAGCATGCCCGCGCGTCATTTCCCGCGCTTTTCACAGATTTCGTGTTTTCTTCAGGAATTTCGCCAGGTTAAAAATTAATATCAACTAGGTGTGTAATCTTTGCTGATTTTGCCAATCTTTTTACCTGAAAAGCGTTCTGTGTTCCAGCACAACCTCTCTGCCGCCCATAATAGACATGTCTTCGTCTAGTTCCTCCAGAGGCACAAGCTGAGAACGATGAAGAACGATAACAAAATTACTCCCAAACATTGTCCAACCTTAAGGACAACCTTTCGTACACGACCAACAGAACACTGTGATTGCAACTTTTACGTTTGTAAAGTACAAGTATGTTAACCATAACCGGCAGTAATTTGAACAGTTTCCGGCTTTTCCGTAACCTTCAACATATTATGCCGGAACGCAAGATTCAATATATATTATTGCGACAGTCTAAGTCTAGACATTACGTCTCTTTAGAATATTTATCCAAAGCTATAAATATTCCGTAAAAATCAGCCACACAATCATGACAGCACACTTTCAAGAAACTCTTACTGAAGAAGAAATTAATCTAGACATAAGAGGTTGATGGAAAATAAACAAAACTCGATCAATACAAGAGAGATATCGAGAAAAAGAAGTCAAGCGGACACTGGAGTGAGTCATGACGGCTACCTTGTCTCCACCGCCGAGAAACACTTCATGTGCGACAAACGACAAGTGTCTCCTGTCACATAGCTGTATCAGCGCCTGGCGTAGCGTTTGTCCTTCCTTGCACAGCAAAATGGTGGACGAGTGGTCAGGTAGCACCACTCTGCAGAACTGGAACGATTCGCTTTCTCTTCTCTGATCCACGTGTAAGGACTAAGTACACACAAAAAACGGCAATTTAATGTTTTTATTTTATGCAATAGTGGTAATATAAGTAAGTACTTGAACCTCTTACCCTTGAACTCTTAAGTACCGCATCATTCTTACATATAAATACAGGAATTGTAAAGTACTCGATACGCATTTAAAATTTCCGTTGCTCAATATGTAAAGCGTTTGCGATGATGAAGGAACACCAGATACGTACAAAGCAGACATGCTCTTCGCGAGGTACTTTCATTAAGTACAAGGAAAACCCGATATAATAAACATGTTTTGTGCTAATAAAAAATTTGAATCGTTCGTTACATCCTGCACTATTCGTTATATACAACAAAGTTCTGATGGTGTCTCTTTTCAGCGTAAAATGCCCGGTGGAACAAGATTTGGCCGTTCTATTTAAGTTGGTTACAACCGTTCGGCTTACCTAAAAAGCACACCAATTACACACACAAAAAAAAAATTTACAAAAACGCGATCAACATCACTGACTAGTCAGCACCAAGAGGGGAAATAAAATCAACTGCAGGGAATACGAGCATAACTGGCATAAATCGTTGTAAGGCGCAGACTTACAAGTCAATAGTGATATCGTTCTTTTAGTTCACCAACAATATCTAAAATTGTTTTTGTTATTGTCCCATTACAAAGTTATCACCATCATAGTTGGTTTGAAACAAATAGAGTTTCGGGAAAGCATCGATTAATATGGATGATGTGAAACACGCACGCTTGCTTTGCATGACAACCGTGACTCTAGACTGCGTGACAAAATACCAGAAAGAGAGTACAAACGCCACGAACCTCTGAGGAGTAGCTGATATTTGGGACTGAATCGGACAAGGAAGAGAGAGAGCTTCGAGCACTACCCGGCTGGCTACCAAACGATCGGTCACCTACAAGAAATAATAATTGAAAATCACAATAAATGAGTCAACAAACTTTCACTGACAAACACCAAAAGTCATATCTTAATGAGAAAAACTTCAACACCGCAATGTTTACAAGGGAAAGGGTTTGAGAGAGAAAAAAGTGACTGATGACATATCAAATTGTAAACACTTGAAAGACAACATGTAGTTTTGGCTGTGAGTAAGAAAACGCAACTATCAGTTCCCTGGCAATTGCATCCGTTACAACCAAACAAAGCTTAAGCGAGTGAGAAATATAGAGTTTGTTTAACAGAGGTTTTACTACTTACTGTGGTGACAGAAATCATATCCCACAGGGCCCAAGTAAAGGTTTTCAGCCCTTCTCGTGATCTGAAACTTCAGCATTTCGGACGTCTTCTTCGCATCAAAACTTACGAGACATGAACCGAGTGATTTAGCAATGCTCGTGAAATATGGCTCGTTGTTGCGAATGAAAACAATTATACTTACGCTTAACATGAAAAACCAATACTGACCTTTTCTGACGTGTTTACCTGCAAAATAGAGGGAGGAGCATTCTTAGTATTTAAGTACCTTGAAACAAAAGCAATATCCTTTTTATGGAAATTATCAGCCATTAAAATAGCCATTAAATGTCCGATGATTGTTCTGTTGAACAAAGAGAGTGCTTATCATTTGTGAAGCCTAACGATTTGCGCGTTTTAAACAATGATCCTTAAATTTATTTTTATGTCAATTGCAAAACGCTTTTCTTCATCAGGACATCATGGAGGTCAACATTTATTTTAGTTTCAAAACCTAATATCGTCAAAATTGGAAACGAAACAGCAAACAAACCAAACATATTTATCGGAAATTAAACGCATCGGGAATGTAAGCAATATTTTAACTTGAAAAGGGCGACGCATTTTTGTAAATTAATTGTACTGCACAATATTCTGTTCTTTTCCAAAACTTTTCACACGTTACCAAATACAAAGTGTCACATATAAAACATGGTATGATAATGGCTATTCAATGAAAACGTAGTGATGATGAAGTCCTAAAAAAAAGTCACAGTTGTATTAATTTTACGTGAAAGCGAGCATCTTGAAATTCTATCGTTTCTCTTTCACATTATAAAACATCAATTTACTCCAAAACTTTGCCGAAAAGTTCAATTCGGTGATAAAATTTAGTGTGTTTGGCTCTTGTAAAAACATTGTAAAAATTTCGTTGATTTACTTAAAAGCAATATCAGATTGAAAGTTTTTAAAAATAGCGACTACTCTGCACAAAGAAAAACACAATTAAGACTGATAAACACGCAACTAACATATCATCAGCTACCATAGACAAACTAAAAACAAAATGACCAAACAGCGATTCCACAAAGGGCAAAAATATTGGTAGTAATGAGGTACACTGAAAAAAGAAACAACTAAAAACAGATTTCCGAAAGTCAACGTTCTCTTAGAGATTTAATACTGGGTACTTTTACAGCTCGCATAGAAAATATGTTTCATCACCAAGACTGGGTGACTCTTGCAGTTAGACAAAGTTTCTTGTTGAAAGGAGAACAAGACGTTACTAGTGATCACTTTTTGCCTTGTGTTGCGTGACTTCATATTGAATTACGCGCGCTAAGTGTCACGCTCTTTTCCGTACCACATACGGAGCACGCAAATCAGTTTGTAACGTCATCACTAAACGCTACAGGCGGAAATAAAAAGTCACGTTAGTAGCAACCCATAATAGAAGAACTTTTCGGGAACCTGCAGAGACTAAACAGGCTTAGGCCCACATGTATTAAACCTCACCTTTCCAAGGAAGAAATGATTTTTTCCTTTCTCCGTCCATGCCTCCAGTAGATCGTTTGCTGCTGTGTTTACTTCCCCAGCTACGGCCCGAACGCTAAACATTGTAAATTAGGATACAAAAATTAGAAGAGAAAATCCTGCAACACGCTACATGAAGCAGTTTTGTAATGATTCGCACAAAACCAAAAGTCAATCATAAGCAACGCAGATAGCCGGACGAAACAATCAGAATCATTCATAAACACAGGCAACGGCCTCAAGCGCGGGAAAACGAACAAAAGCCGTTACTAGTTTTGTTTCTGATTAGTTGAATCAACATGTTTCGGTACGACTTTTACAAACCGTTTTTAGAGTTACGTGTATTAACCATTAAAAGCAAACACATCATGACATAGGAACTTACCATTTCGAACTGTTGTAAACCTGAAACTTAAGTTATCCAGAACCAATATTGCCAGTAGACCGGGTTGTTCAAAAGCCGGTTAACGCTAACCCAGGATTAAAAGTTACATTAATTTTTCTTGGATAAAAGTGTCTTCCACCCGCCATGTATTGTGTAGTTTGAGATTATTCAAACTCAAAGCCGAAGGACAAACAATATAAACAGAAAACCTGACCACAAAGTTACAAAACTGAAATCAAATTTCTCGCTAAACCTGGTTTAGCTTAATCGGGCTTTGAACAACCCGGCCCTGAGCAAGATTCAAAATGTAACAAAAGGCAAGCGCGAAAAGTCGCGTACGATGACCCGCAAGCAAAGCACAATATTAACGAAAACTTAGGTTTAAAGTAACACAGACGTTTAGCATTGAAGCGAGTGTTTTCTTACCGCGGTGAATTTTAAAACAATTCCTAAGAAGACTGGTGTAGTATTTATTGAAAAAAACAGTGAGAACAACAACAGTGGGACAACACCAGCGAGGCTCAAGTTTCAAAGTTTAAAGTTCACTTCCTAAGGTATATTTAGACTTGGGGCCATTCCATTTGATATCCGCACCCCCTATTGATGAGGTGTTTTTTTTTCCCCTGAGCCCTTGAGAAATTTTTTTCCTGGAGTTACCCTTTTTCCCCTTCAGAAATGAGCCTATTTAACTGTAGGGCTTCAGAAATTTAGCAGTGCTTTGCAGTACCCTCATCAGAAAAAGTATATCCCACAATCCCCGTTGATGACGTAACTTTCCCCACTCCCCCTCGGAAATTTACTCATGGTATTATACCCCTTCAGAAATAAACATTTTGAATAATGACCCCTCAGAAAATCTCGTCTATGGGTGACTCACTCGGAAAATGTCATCTACGGGGGGGNTGTGCAATCACGTGATCAGAGGACAAGCCTTGCCGAGAGAGAATGGGCTCCAGACAAGCTCTCACGGTCCGATTGGGTTTGACTTTCATCCACAACATCGCACCATTCGGAAGTTCCAATCTGCAAAGTGAACAATAAGAAACAAAGAATAAGGCAAAATACTACCATAATATAACTTTGCAGTATCAAGGAAACGCAACGTTCGACCTCTTCCTTGCACAAACAAAGAAGCAGAGCGACTTTCGATCCTATGATTTTGGGAAGTCGTAATGTGTTTAACGAGTTTGATCACGTAAGCATGCTTTAACCAATGAAATCAAAGATTATATCTTCTCAGCCAATCAGGAATTGGACCCAGCATGCCCGCGCGTCATTTCCCGCGCTTTTCACAGATTTCGTGTTTTCTTCAGGAATTTCGCCAGGTTAAAAATTAATATCAACTAGGTGTGTAATCTTTGCTGATTTTGCCAATCTTTTTACCTGAAAAGCGTTCTGTGTTCCAGCACAACCTCTCTGCCGCCCATAATAGACATGTCTTCGTCTAGTTCCTCCAGAGGCACAAGCTGAGAACGATGAAGAACGATAACAAAATTACTCCCAAACATTGTCCAACCTTAAGGACAACCTTTCGTACACGACCAACAGAACACTGTGATTGCAACTTTTACGTTTGTAAAGTACAAGTATGTTAACCATAACCGGCAGTAATTTGAACAGTTTCCGGCTTTTCCGTAACCTTCAACATATTATGCCGGAACGCAAGATTCAATATATATTATTGCGACAGTCTAAGTCTAGACATTACGTCTCTTTAGAATATTTATCCAAAGCTATAAATATTCCGTAAAAATCAGCCACACAATCATGACAGCACACTTTCAAGAAACTCTTACTGAAGAAGAAATTAATCTAGACATAAGAGGTTGATGGAAAATAAACAAAACTCGATCAATACAAGAGAGATATCGAGAAAAAGAAGTCAAGCGGACACTGGAGTGAGTCATGACGGCTACCTTGTCTCCACCGCCGAGAAACACTTCATGTGCGACAAACGACAAGTGTCTCCTGTCACATAGCTGTATCAGCGCCTGGCGTAGCGTTTGTCCTTCCTTGCACAGCAAAATGGTGGACGAGTGGTCAGGTAGCACCACTCTGCAGAACTGGAACGATTCGCTTTCTCTTCTCTGATCCACGTGTAAGGACTAAGTACACACAAAAAACGGCAATTTAATGTTTTTATTTTATGCAATAGTGGTAATATAAGTAAGTACTTGAACCTCTTACCCTTGAACTCTTAAGTACCGCATCATTCTTACATATAAATACAGGAATTGTAAAGTACTCGATACGCATTTAAAATTTCCGTTGCTCAATATGTAAAGCGTTTGCGATGATGAAGGAACACCAGATACGTACAAAGCAGACATGCTCTTCGCGAGGTACTTTCATTAAGTACAAGGAAAACCCGATATAATAAACATGTTTTGTGCTAATAAAAAATTTGAATCGTTCGTTACATCCTGCACTATTCGTTATATACAACAAAGTTCTGATGGTGTCTCTTTTCAGCGTAAAATGCCCGGTGGAACAAGATTTGGCCGTTCTATTTAAGTTGGTTACAACCGTTCGGCTTACCTAAAAAGCACACCAATTACACACACAAAAAAAAAATTTACAAAAACGCGATCAACATCACTGACTAGTCAGCACCAAGAGGGGAAATAAAATCAACTGCAGGGAATACGAGCATAACTGGCATAAATCGTTGTAAGGCGCAGACTTACAAGTCAATAGTGATATCGTTCTTTTAGTTCACCAACAATATCTAAAATTGTTTTTGTTATTGTCCCATTACAAAGTTATCACCATCATAGTTGGTTTGAAACAAATAGAGTTTCGGGAAAGCATCGATTAATATGGATGATGTGAAACACGCACGCTTGCTTTGCATGACAACCGTGACTCTAGACTGCGTGACAAAATACCAGAAAGAGAGTACAAACGCCACGAACCTCTGAGGAGTAGCTGATATTTGGGACTGAATCGGACAAGGAAGAGAGAGAGCTTCGAGCACTACCCGGCTGGCTACCAAACGATCGGTCACCTACAAGAAATAATAATTGAAAATCACAATAAATGAGTCAACAAACTTTCACTGACAAACACCAAAAGTCATATCTTAATGAGAAAAACTTCAACACCGCAATGTTTACAAGGGAAAGGGTTTGAGAGAGAAAAAAGTGACTGATGACATATCAAATTGTAAACACTTGAAAGACAACATGTAGTTTTGGCTGTGAGTAAGAAAACGCAACTATCAGTTCCCTGGCAATTGCATCCGTTACAACCAAACAAAGCTTAAGCGAGTGAGAAATATAGAGTTTGTTTAACAGAGGTTTTACTACTTACTGTGGTGACAGAAATCATATCCCACAGGGCCCAAGTAAAGGTTTTCAGCCCTTCTCGTGATCTGAAACTTCAGCATTTCGGACGTCTTCTTCGCATCAAAACTTACGAGACATGAACCGAGTGATTTAGCAATGCTCGTGAAATATGGCTCGTTGTTGCGAATGAAAACAATTATACTTACGCTTAACATGAAAAACCAATACTGACCTTTTCTGACGTGTTTACCTGCAAAATAGAGGGAGGAGCATTCTTAGTATTTAAGTACCTTGAAACAAAAGCAATATCCTTTTTATGGAAATTATCAGCCATTAAAATAGCCATTAAATGTCCGATGATTGTTCTGTTGAACAAAGAGAGTGCTTATCATTTGTGAAGCCTAACGATTTGCGCGTTTTAAACAATGATCCTTAAATTTATTTTTATGTCAATTGCAAAACGCTTTTCTTCATCAGGACATCATGGAGGTCAACATTTATTTTAGTTTCAAAACCTAATATCGTCAAAATTGGAAACGAAACAGCAAACAAACCAAACATATTTATCGGAAATTAAACGCATCGGGAATGTAAGCAATATTTTAACTTGAAAAGGGCGACGCATTTTTGTAAATTAATTGTACTGCACAATATTCTGTTCTTTTCCAAAACTTTTCACACGTTACCAAATACAAAGTGTCACATATAAAACATGGTATGATAATGGCTATTCAATGAAAACGTAGTGATGATGAAGTCCTAAAAAAAAGTCACAGTTGTATTAATTTTACGTGAAAGCGAGCATCTTGAAATTCTATCGTTTCTCTTTCACATTATAAAACATCAATTTACTCCAAAACTTTGCCGAAAAGTTCAATTCGGTGATAAAATTTAGTGTGTTTGGCTCTTGTAAAAACATTGTAAAAATTTCGTTGATTTACTTAAAAGCAATATCAGATTGAAAGTTTTTAAAAATAGCGACTACTCTGCACAAAGAAAAACACAATTAAGACTGATAAACACGCAACTAACATATCATCAGCTACCATAGACAAACTAAAAACAAAATGACCAAACAGCGATTCCACAAAGGGCAAAAATATTGGTAGTAATGAGGTACACTGAAAAAAGAAACAACTAAAAACAGATTTCCGAAAGTCAACGTTCTGTTAGAGATTTAATACTGGGTACTTTTACAGCTCGCATAGAAAATATGTTTCATCACCAAGACTGGGTGACTCTTGCAGTTAGACAAAGTTTCTTGTTGAAAGGAGAACAAGACGTTACTAGTGATCACTTTTTGCCTTGTGTTGCGTGACTTCATATTGAATTACGCGCGCTAAGTGTCACGCTCTTTTCCGTACCACATACGGAGCACGCAAATCAGTTTGTAACGTCATCACTAAACGCTACAGGCGGAAATAAAAAGTCACGTTAGTAGCAACCCATAATAGAAGAACTTTTCGGGAACCTGCAGAGACTAAACAGGCTTAGGCCCACATGTATTAAACCTCACCTTTCCAAGGAAGAAATGATTTTTTCCTTTCTCCGTCCATGCCTCCAGTAGATCGTTTGCTGCTGTGTTTACTTCCCCAGCTACGGCCCGAACGCTAAACATTGTAAATTAGGATACAAAAATTAGAAGAGAAAATCCTGCAACACGCTACATGAAGCAGTTTTGTAATGATTCGCACAAAACCAAAAGTCAATCATAAGCAACGCAGATAGCCGGACGAAACAATCAGAATCATTCATAAACACAGGCAACGGCCTCAAGCGCGGGAAAACGAACAAAAGCCGTTACTAGTTTTGTTTCTGATTAGTTGAATCAACATGTTTCGGTACGACTTTTACAAACCGTTTTTAGAGTTACGTGTATTAACCATTAAAAGCAAACACATCATGACATAGGAACTTACCATTTCGAACTGTTGTAAACCTGAAACTTAAGTTATCCAGAACCAATATTGCCAGTAGACCGGGTTGTTCAAAAGCCGGTTAACGCTAACCCAGGATTAAAAGTTACATTAATTTTTCTTGGATAAAAGTGTCTTCCACCCGCCATGTATTGTGTAGTTTGAGATTATTCAAACTCAAAGCCGAAGGACAAACAATATAAACAGAAAACCTGACCACAAAGTTACAAAACTGAAATCAAATTTCTCGCTAAACCTGGTTTAGCTTAATCGGGCTTTGAACAACCCGGCCCTGAGCAAGATTCAAAATGTAACAAAAGGCAAGCGCGAAAAGTCGCGTACGATGACCCGCAAGCAAAGCACAATATTAACGAAAACTTAGGTTTAAAGTAACACAGACGTTTAGCATTGAAGCGAGTGTTTTCTTACCGCGGTGAATTTTAAAACAATTCCTAAGAAGACTGGTGTAGTATTTATTGAAAAAAACAGTGAGAACAACAACAGTGGGACAACACCAGCGAGGCTCAAGTTTCAAAGTTTAAAGTTCACTTCCTAAGGTATATTTAGACTTGGGGCCATTCCATTTGATATCCACACCCCCTATTGATGAGGTGTTTTTTTTTCCCCTGAGCCCTTGAGAAATTTTTTTCCTGGAGTTACCCTTTTTCCCCTTCAGAAATGAGCCTATTTAACTGTAGGGCTTCAGAAATTTAGCAGTGCTTTGCAGTACCCTCATCAGAAAAAGTATATCCCACAATCCCCGTTGATGACGTAACTTTCCCCACTCCCCCTCGGAAATTTACTCATGGTATTATACCCCTTCAGAAATAAACATTTTGAATAATGACCCCTCAGAAAATCTCGTCTATGGGTGACTCACTCGGAAAATGTCATCTACGGGGGGGNACTCGAAAATGTCATCTATGGGGGGGCGGAGGGGGGGGTGAATATAAAATGGCACGGCCCTTGAAAGCTGTTTAATTATCACAGTTTATTTAAATTTTCTGATTTACCTGTCCTTCAAGACTAAAACTGCTACGACTGCTGCCACTGGAGAATTCGGATTCTTCAGAGGACGGATAAAGAAAGGGAACCTGGAATTTGGAGGTTATTAAGCAGGTTTATGGTTAAAGTTTAAGACCTTAACAGTTGCAATTTATTACAGGATTAACTACCAAAAAATGCTTATTTTTATACACCTGGCTTTGACAAAGGTTAACAGGAGCAAAGTCATGTCAAATTAATAAGAGCACTTCAATTAAATGCGCAACAAACTTGACTAACTTACTGACTCCCATATGGGGAATAGTTAATGAGTCTGGGTCATGGTGTTATTTTCCTTTCAACATAAGTCATTTAACCGACAACCCTCAAAATTAAGTTAAGAGACCTTGAAATTAATATACTTCATATTAGTATATGGTGTAGCTGATGTTAAAATTCCCGGATGAAAGCTATTTACAGTTTTAGCACCAATTAACTTTAAACTGAAAACAAAAACTGTTATCAATACAAATAAATGTATTACAGTTCATGAATTCAGGATTCTTAGGCTGGACTTCCTTGATTTTAATATATTGAAAACATTGTGTAGTTTTATATTTCTTTTTTAAACTGATTTAGTTTCTTTTTTCTTCAAGTTAGTTTTGAACGTTTTCAAGTTTAGTGAGGCTGTCTTTAGCTACATGCACAGCAGATGCAGTACTAACTAGCACCAGATTCACTGGTTTAAGGATAATCTGGTTCTCCATAAAAATCCAGGACTGCTCTTTTTCTGATGATCAGGCCTTCGGTTGTCATGACACTCTGTTTGAATTTGATACAAAACGGTAAGAAGTAACCACTGTATCAGTAATCAAGACAAAGTTCACTGCCCTGTAAGCCTTAAGGTGGCACTGGAGACTAAAGAGACTTTGTCAGATGACAGTTACTTTACACATATGAAAGATCATTTCCCAGGAAGACATTGTATGTGTTTCAAATCAGGTACCTTCCAGAAGAAGCCTCTGGCTTTGTTTTCTCTCTCCTCCTCTCCCTCCTCATAATGGAGAAGTCCTCCTTCAATCTCAGCCACAAGGCTCTGTCTGTACACATCAGACTTCAGAAAACGTGGGTAGCTATCAAATTTCATCAGCGTATAAACCTACAGAACACAGTACATGTGCTGTGAGAACTGATTTCAAGAGTCTTACAATGGGCCGCTCGGCTGCACAGTATCAGACAAATGTCTTTAAAGCCATAGTACATTTCAGAACTCCTCATAAATGTTTCAAACGACATTCTTATTGTATCTAAATGACCACTCAATTCCCTTCATTTAAACAAATTTCACACACCAGATCTTGAAGAGCAGGGCAAAAAACATCTACTGTTCAAAAGCTTTCATTTGAATGGCAGGTGCACAAGATATTGTTGATATCTACCTTAATCAACACAAACAAATAAACTCATTTAACCTGCTGTTGTTGAAGGCGAAACATGTCATTGTTTGGATTTTGCAAATGTTCCTCTGCATCCTTCACCGCTGAACTGTCAATATTAACAGGCATGGCTGCATTTGCATCAAGATGATTGTGGAAGATGCTTTCTGCTTCCATTTTCAGCTGGCCAAAGACAAAAACATTACCATTGATAATCAGAAGTTATAAGTTATCAAGGCTCGAAAAATATTTGAATTACCGCTCGCCCTTTGGCAAGTAACTCAAATTTTGCTAGCCCAGGGCACTCACCCGCTCGCCCAGGTTTTCAAACTAACCAATAATTTATGGTCTCAAATATGAAGTGATTCACTGGCATGTTGGAATGCTATAAACCCGTCTGATTTGTTTGTAGTCTTCCTAGTGTTTATCACTCTCATGCTCATGTACTTGCTTGCTATTTCCTGAATTACGTGCTGAGTATCTGAGTATCATTGTTTCCAGTCTTTGAAACAATGCAGACATGATGATAGATGCGAATGCAGCTGTAACACTACTGGAAAAAAGACCTGAAAAAATATTCAGGCTTTGAACGGGATCCTTGAAACAATGCTTTCAATCCGTTGAAGGTCGTGTTAGACGCCTTGAACCTTAAACTCCATTCTGCCGACATTAGGCTTGTTTGAGTGATGAGAACCACGTAAAATTAAAAGCAAGTAGAATTAAAAATAATCGAGCTTCTCCTGGTTCTCCACGTTAGTTTTGATACATGCATCATGTGGAATTTGCAAAGCTGGTGAGTGTAAATTTTTTTCATTTCGGTGGATGAAAAATAGTTTTGGTTGAGTGAAAACATATTCATTTGAATGAAAAATTATTTTGTCAACATCCAGGAACATTAAAAGTTATTTGACGACTTACTAATCAATTTCTTTTTTAATAATATTAATAATACTTTTCATTTCAGTGGCACCCAAGTATATTTCTACCAGAAACTCATGTTTTGCCGAAGAGATTTGCCATAGGGATTTTGCTGGATTTGTTCATTAAAAATGCTGGCGAGGGCTTCAATTGTTCCAGTAGAAATATACAGCTTCCTTTCGCGTACTGCTTCTACAGCTTTGGTACATTGATGTCGAGTTTGGTTTTGTACAGTCAACAGTGAAACTGAAAAAATTATTGCAAAAAAGGTTGAAATTTTATGAAATAAACAGGGCATTTTCGTACCGAAAACGACTATTTTTAGTTGTGGAAAGGAACTTGATGAGGGCAGATTTTGATCATGTGCAAAGTAACCACTCCTGAACTCTGAACGTGCATCATGCAATCAACAAAACAATGCCATAATAATTTGTAATTTTCATCAAGCTTCATCTAAACACTTAATTATACCCATGTGCCTAAAACTTACTCTTTATTTCAAAATCATTACCAAAAATTTAGTCAGTGGCTGGCTTGCCTGGGTTCTTGCCCATAGGGCAAGTGAGGAGAGAAAGTTACTTGCCCAAGAGGAAATATACCTGTACCGGATGAGCAGACAGGGTTTTTTTCAAGCCCTGAGTTATCAACCAAGGGCTTGAATTTTCCTTGAGTGAATAGTCAAAACTGCAGCCAAGTTCACCATCATTCAGAGAAAGAGGGGTATTTGTGCGAGTGGAAAATGTAAAATATAGTAGACAGAACTAACAGTGTTGTGATTTTTAGACCAAACATCAAGAAATAGTTTCCCTGTCAAGACTAACAGAGTCATAGTATATCAGCAACTAGTCGATGACAAGAGAGCAGTAGAACACGATGTTCATCTACCAGGTGCTATTAGTCACTTGCAAATCAATTTTATAATTCAACCCCAATGTAGTACAATGTCTTAAGCAAACAATTGACAAGAATAAAAGAACTTGACCAATATTCCAGACCTTACACAAGTTCAAAAACATTAATAATTTGTTAAATTTGATTGAAACAACATTTTACAGAACATTTTCAGGCTGATTTCTTACTAAGCACCTGGTAAATAAGAACTTAATAAGCCTGAACCCCAATAGGTTCTTATATGTGGGTGTTTATTGTATCTGTGCCAAGGCACGAGAAATAGCTGGTACCAGAACCCTAATACACAAGGCTGCACAAGATAATGGCATGAATTCATCAACATCAATAGTGGGTCCCATATTGTAGTTCTTACCTCTTCAAAATCTGTGATATTCCTGAAGTTTTCACATGCAATCCAGAAAACAATATTTTCATCACTAAATTCTTTCTTCAAGAACTCCTGTGAAGGTATTATTATCAAAGAGTACATCATGTTAGTGATGGCCCTAAGGTACATGTACATCTCCAAAGTATTCATGGTAACCCAAATTTTCCCTTTTCCTAAAAAAAAATGTGCATATAAGTATTTTTAAAGCAGGTTCAGTTTTCTTGTAGCCTCTTCCAGGTGTTCAGTTAGTTGGGGCAAACGGTGAGTGAAAAAAAGGGGAGAAAGGTTGTGAGAGAAGGCAAAAGAACGTCTGTGGGCAAACTTAACAAAAGGTCATTCTGATGTGAAGTTTATATGAAATAATTCATATATGAACTGCGGTTGTAGATGACGGTGAAGAATGATCATCGCAGTTAATTTTCCAATTTAAGCAATTGGAAAGAAGAAGCCTGAAAAAATCA